TTTGTCTTGACCCCTAAAACGATCCTGTATAAGTTTGTGGGACGACAATAACATTATTTCTCTGTCTGATAGCTGTCTTTGATGGGGTAACAAGCCTTGTGGATAGAATCATAGAAGATTAGGGTTGGAAGGGACCTCAAGAGGTCATCTAGTCCAACCCGCTGCTCAAAGCAGGACCAACACCGACTAAATCATCCCAGCCAGGGCTTTGTCAAGCCGGGCCTTAAAAACCTCTAAGGAAGGAGATTCCACCACCTCCCTAGGTAACCCATTCCAGTGCTTCACCACCCTTCTGGTGAAATAGTGACAGGTTTCAGAGTAACAGCCGTGTTAGTCTGTATCCGCAAAAAGAACAGGAGTACTTGTGGCACCTTAGAGACTAACAAATTTATTTGAGCATAAGCTTTCGTGGGCTACAGCCCACTTCATCGGATGCATGCAGTGGAAAATACAGTAGGAAGATATATATATACACAGAGAACATAAAACAATGGGTGTTACCATACACACTATAAGGAGAGTGATCAGTTAAGGTGAGCTATTATCAGCAGGAGAGAAAAAGAACTGTTTGTAGTGGTAATGAAAATGGCCCATTTCCAGCAATTGACAAGAAGAGTGGAGGGGCCATTACACAAAGTAAAACTATTTCCCCATGCTTATTTCCCCCCCCCCCTTACAGTTCCACACATCTTCTGTCAATTGCTGGAAATGGGCCATTTTCATTACCACTACAAACAGTTCTTTTTCTCTCCTGCTGATAATAGCTCACCTTAACTGATCACTCTCCTTATAGTGTGTATGGTAAAACCCATTGTTTCATGTTCTCTGTGTATATATATATTTCTTCCTACTGTATTTTCCACTGCCTGCATCCGATGAAGTGGGCTGTAGCCCACAAAAGCTTATGCTCAAATAAATTTGTTAGTCTCTAAGGTGCCACAAGTACTCCTGTTCTTTTTCTAGTGAAATAGTGTTTCCTAATATCCAACCTACCCCTCCCCCACTGCAACTTGAGACCATTGCTTCTTGTTCTGTCAATAAGTCCTGCAATGAGTGCAAGGGACTGGACTAGATGACCTCTCATGGTCCCTTCCACCCTATGATTCTATTATTCTAATGGGTTACGTGCTGGTCTGAGGGCCAGGAACAACGCCTAGGTTCTATCCTGCCATCTCCTCCTGGCTCACTGTGTGGCCATGAGCAAGTCACTGCCCCTCACTGTGCCTCAGTTTCTCCATAACAAGCAAAGTGCGTTTAATCTTCTTGCCTTTTTTGGAACTTTGGGCATTGAGTACTAGCAGAGCTGGGATGCCAAGTTGGATGGGCCAGTGCTCTGATTCATTATAGCAAACCCTATCCCTGACTAGTGTAGGATTTAAGATGTGTATAAAGCAAAAATTAAATCAGACCCAGACCACTTGAGGCGATACCTTGTAGTATCTCCCCTGTTCAAAGCATCCACAGCTCTCCTGAGTCACACAGCCCTGGCCATCGAAGAAGAAGCCCTTGTCACACTGGCAGCCTTCGGCACAGGTCTCCGAGCAGTCCATGATGTTTCCAGCGCAGGCGACAGTGCAGAGGTCAGCACAGACTTCATAGTGGCTGTTGGCAGGGCAGGTCACAGCTTAAATGGAGAGAGGAATAATTATTGGTTAGACAGATGTCATACCACAGGCTAGAGGGAGAGAGACATAAAGGATAGGAGAACAGCACAGGAAGGAAAGGACAAGGACACTGAGGTTGTTGATTCACACTGAAAGAGTCTATGAAGAATCCCAGAAGTCTGGAATTTTGTTCCCATAAATGCTGTCTCCCTCTCCCCTTTTGTCCCGCACCCAGCGCACCTTGGCTACCTGAGCTCCATCAGTATCATGGACTTACGGCAGAAGGAAGTGCTCCTCCAGGGCGGGATGGTGACCTTGGCCTCTTGGCAGGCCGTCACATAGCTGTGCATGCTCTGGCACAGGACCTGGGAGTCCCTGTTGCTCAGGCACAGATCATACAGGCAGTTGTTGAAATACACACTGGGGCTGACCGTGCCGTGGCAGGCAGTGAAGGGGCTGTCAGGGGCTGTGAGCAACCCGCAGTAGTGGCGCTGTTTGAAGACGTCCTTCTTTCTCTCCTCACAAACTGGACAGCTGTTCCCAGCGCATCTGTCTACACATGATGCTCCTAGGACCTGGACTTCCCAAGCAGAGCCAAATGCTGCCACATCAGAGGCTGTCCTGCCATTGGGGAGCAGGAGCTTGCTGTCCTGCCGTCCACTGTAGTTCCCGCACAGGCCACAGGTGTGGCCCTGGTATCGCTGTGGAACGGTGACTCTGGCCTGGTAAACCAGGTCGTAACTCACAATGAGGCCAAAGTCAGTTTGCACCAGGATGTTAGTACCATGCTGATATGCTTGAAGCCGCCTGTTGACCGTGATCACCGGGAGGTTGTGGAACACCCCATCCACCTGTCCGAGACAGAGCATTCCACTGTGAGAAGGCGGAGTGGACACTGGGTAGGGGTGGGGACAACACGTTTTCAGATTCTGCTCTCACTCACACCATGGACTAAACCCAAAATTACCCATGACTCCAGATTTCACTTTGGAATGACTTATCCTCATCTTCCAAGCTCGTGACATTGTTACCTGGCCTACATCTCTTCTCTCATCTCCCTATCCACCCACCTGCCTCCCTCCCGATCCTCTCTCTTTTCCATCCCTATCTCCTCCACCCATGTTTAGCTCACACCTTCTTATCATGACAACCCCTGCACTCAAAATAATTTCCCACTTCTTTTCCATCACCCCCTCTCTCCTAAACCCCACTTTTCTCATGAATCCTTCTCCATTTACCATTTCCCTCCCTCTCCTGTCTGGACCAATTTCCAATATGTCACGTTCTATTTGTTCCAAGGTAAACTACAGGCTTCTCAGGGGAATTGATCATGGGACAGATTCTTCAACAGAGAGGCCAATGGAGTTCCCAAGGGGAGGAATTTCATCCCATGTTTGCAAAATATTAGGTATGTAGAGAGGTTTCCCAGGTAATTAATATTAATAAATATGGGGTATGAATCAAGAAGAGAGGCAGAGAAGATGCATCTGAGCTGCAGGACGCTCAGCTTGCCCAACAGAAGCTCTCATATAGCAACACCCATGAGTGATGCTTTCTACCGTCTCCAGTTTACTGCTGGGGGAATTCTGTGCCACTCGCAATGCAGAATTTGTGCAGAAATTAATGTGTGCACAGAATTTCCTTCCTCCCCCCGAAATGGGCTGCAGAGCTGCTGGGCGCCACTAGGGGCCACTGGACCCAGCAGAGCCCAGCTCACAAATAGAAGACCAGGAGGAGTGGGAGGGAGCTGGAGGCTTCCCAGTTCTCAGCATGCTCTTAAGGAAGGAGGTGTGCAGGAAACTCCATACAAGTCCGGAACCCAGCATCAGGCTGTTTCTCCCTCTGGATCCCTGGGCTCTGAGGGGTAGGAGGTGCGGGTGTCTGGATTGGGGGGAGCCCCACAGTGGGGCTCTGGGGTAAGAGGTGTGGGTATCTGGGCTAGGGGGGGGCCCTGTGGTTGGGCTGTGGGGGAGAGGAGGGGACGGAGAAACAGGATCCTGGATTGTCGTAGGGGTTTTTTTAACTCTGTACTCCTGGTGGAATTTTTGTGTGTGTCTGTATTGTTATAGACATACTTGCTGACAGGTATTTTGAAATAAATGACCAAAATAATTGAAATTGGCATGATTTTATAGTGTTGTTTTTACAAATAAATATGCAGAATTTTGCAGGATTATAAAATATTGTGTTCAGAATTTTTAATTTTTGGGCGCAGAATTCGCCTGGAGTACCAGTTGGCTGTGAGATTCCATCCCATCCTGGCAGAGGATAACCTGGCTTCAGTTATTTACGTCTTTGTCGCCTCTTGGCTGGATTGCAACAAGTGATATACGTGTGGAAAGAGCCTTCAGCTCTTACTCCAGCTGGTACAGAATGCTGGAGTTTATCTCCTCAGAAGCACTGTCCACTGTGAACACATCACACCTCTCGTCCGCTCCCTACATTGGCCCCCCACAGAACATCAAATCCCATTCAAGGTCTCAGTCCTTATCTTCAATATACTCAACTCCCTTCCAACAAGGGGAGATACTACGTAATTAATTGGATCAATTTCCAAGATGAAGACCCTTGTTCCAAAACTCCACAAGGCTTGAGCATAACCTTTGCCAACATCACAATAGCCTGCCTGTGATGGGGTGCTCTCGCCACACCAGCCCCAAAAGGGCAAAGGAAGCTGAGTAAGGAACCAATTAGTGTGATAGGCCACACGTGAGGGTATTAGGCTGGAGGAGCAACCCCTGATTGGAGGATGAAGTTCAGCTGAGTGGGTGTGACCTGGGCTAATATAAAGCCAAGAAGCTGGCAACAGAAAGGATGGCAGTGAGAAAGTCTGCAGCCACCGTCTGTGTATTAGAGAAGGAAGGCGGGAACCCAAGGAAGGAGTTAGACCCCAGGAGCCTGGCCCTGAGGGAAGACCATACCCAGAAGAGAGAAGGATGGAGAAGAAAGCTTGTGGGAGGCAGAGGAGGAAGCAGCCCAGGGAGACAGCAGCAAGGCTGGGGACTGATTAGACTATGGCTGCATGTTGTAGAGTCCCTGGGCCAGAACCCAGAGTAGTGGGCAGGCCCAGGTTCT